ATATAGGCGATGTTATGAGTTCTAGTTTTACACATGTAAGAACATTTTTCACTAGAAATTAAACTTTTTCGTTTGTGCTGCTGAATGAGCACTACCACTTAAGAGAAAAAGGGCTCGAACTGGGCGATGAGCCTGGTTGAATCTGATTCAATACGAGTTTGTTAACGGAACAGAAAACAATCTAATTCTTATGCTAATTAATACAAGCCTCGTATCTGATTGGGATAACTATAACTCCAGTTACCATAGGATGGTCCTCTAACAACATTTTATTCACTATCCATTCGCATGACTTTCACTCTACAAAAATGTACAAATCTAATAAACGGACTAATGTAGTGTTTTTGCTATAATTGTCGGAAGATCTTACCTTTGTTTTTCCACAGATGCTGTATCTCATTTATTTCAATCTCTTCTGGTTTATTCAAGAACAAAATATATGTCTGTATAAATCAAGAAAACAAGCCTGGTACACAAGATATGAACGATAAAAAAAAAAAATTTAAGTGCACAATGTGCCTAATCTAAACAAATAAAAGAAATCATCGGTTCAATGAGTTACTCTCAATTTAAAGAGATATAAATGAAACGTTCAATGGTAAAAAGAAAATTAGATACAAAATACAAGTTTGTAGGGAAAAACAAGTAAAGTTAAGTCTTGAATGAATAAAGTTTAAACTAAACTAACAAGTAAAGTTATCTTTTTTGTTTCATCTTATCTTTAAGAAAGGCCGAATAAGACAAATTTTCTGGACTTAAGCGTGCTCTTTGTTTACGAGCCAGATACGCTGACAACGAAAATGCCGATTCACTCGGCACACTAGTGCCCGGAACCGATAAATATTTGTTTGCATATTTAATCAATATTGGTAATTGCTTTTGATGATTTTTCCAAAAAAGCAAAGATGTTGATGATGATGGTGAATCTCTTGTATTGAACGAATTCACTAAGGATTTATATGTTTTTAAGTCATGAGCAATAGTCACTCGCTTATTTTTGTCTCTATTTGCTGCATCTTTTACATCAATGTCCTGGCCAACTGATGCCATGAATGCATTAAGAACTGATAACGGTTTTCGAACGGGTATTTTTGTTGTTGCTCCTGTCATTGGCAACGTTGTACTGGTATTATTATTAATCAATGATGGTTGCTGTGGCGAGAGATCAAGCGAAGAATTATTTAATGCCATATCTTTTAAATCACGTTCAATTAATGCTTTATCAGTGTCAGATAAAACTGCATATCCCAAAGGGTCAAAATAGGCATGTATCTTAAAACAAACAAATAAAAAGAAATTAGAAAAAGTGATAACAATCACAAAATTTTCCCTTTGCCTATATCTACGACCTATTAATACTCAATTATCAACGAATAAAAATGCAGTGAAAGAAAATTGGAAAAAAGGAGAATTTTGTTTTAATTTTTATCTCCTGGACAGTTTTTCCGATTACGCTTACTCGAAGTCTTACATTATCTTAAAGTTTTCGCCGGAAAAGAGAGGAGAAATTTTTTAATTTTTCTCGGAAAATATCGATGTTTCATCGTACTTTTTTTCTACCTCTTGGTGTATCTTACAAAAACGAGAATTCTTCTCAGAGGCTCGGAGAAAATTTTGAATTTTCGACTTCTGTTGATCAACTAGGTTGATCACGTTTTGGCTGCCAATTCGCTCTCTGTCAGCCAATCCTAATGAATCTAATAATTTAGCCTTGTATCATCCATCTTACTTTCAACAAATTAGACTGATCATCATCAGTATCAAGATAATGTTTCATTGATTGAGATAATAATTTTTTCAATCGTATCACAAGATCATTATCACCTACAGTATTATCAAGAAATTTTTTAATGAAATGTATGGCAAAATAAGTAAGACCAATAGTTGCATAATGGCTTCCACTAATAAGTCTCGTGGCATGATAAAAGGGTTTTAATGTCTCATGTAATAATAGTAACATATTCCAATCATTAGATGTGATTTCAAGACGTTCCAATTTTTTCAATTGTTTATATTTGATTCTTAGTTGATATTTTTCATCAAACAATTTAGTAACGATAGATTTCAATTGTAAATAGCTATCAATCATGTAGTACGTAGAGTTCCATCTCGTGCAGACGTCTCCCATCAATGTTCTTTGTTTTTTCAATTTTGTACGTTCAAGATCAAAATACGATGATAGAATGCTTGATTTTTTAAGCATTTTGATCCATGCTCGACATTTGTTCAATAGAATTAATATGGAATCTTCATCATTAGAATAATATCCATTTAAATTTTGAGCCCAATTATCAGTTATATCGTCATTGTCAACTATATCTTCAATGTCCGATGCTTCATCACCCAGTGATTCACTTTCTTCTTCTTGTTGATCTTGGTCAACATTTTCACGTTTTGATCATCATCATCGTTGAAATTGGATACTTGTTGTGAATCAACATCGACTGATGAATTCATATCAATATCGCTGTCGGCTATGCCTTCAATTTCATCATCATCATCACTGGCTTCAGTATCTAATTGTTGTTGAGATGAATTTGTCGTGGTTAATGTGGATGGTGCTGTTGGGGGCGGAAACGATTTTGCTTTGTCCCAAAGATCTGGTCCATTGCATATGATTAAATGCAAGCGATGGGCTATACACCAAATACGCTTGATTTCCGGATCTAAATAACTGAATATTTTTAACATATTGGGAGCTCCATCACACACAATACAATGAATTTTATGATATATTCTTAATTCTTGCAGTTTGGATTTAATCGCGTTGGCAATATTTCGTGCCGTGTGACTTTGACTGAACGAAGAATAATGTAATATAGTTGATTTTAAATCTAAATCATTGCTATAATAATGGTCAGTGAGGACCATAAATGATTGATTCGACCGATTAGACCAAAAGTCGGTGGTGATATTAATCGTTTCAACATCCTTCAATTCCAAAATTAATTTATTTGTATGAAGATTCTTCAAACGTTTGAGATTTTTTTTTAACATATTTCTGTGTGGTGGCCGATAGTCTATAAAAATAAAGTTTCAGCATGATCCTTAGCTGAAAAAAGCGTATTTACGATTGCGTAGGATGATAAAAATATCTTTGGTCAAAAGGGAGATTCAGTTTCTTTTAATTTTTTTACACCTCTTTAATCGAACAAGACTATACCATCATGCTATCCATGTTTAAATGTTTTTAAAAAAAATTCTAGCCAAAAGCTCATAAGACAAAGCAGATTCATACTACCCTATCATCAGGATTCCGTTCGTTCAAAGCTAATTTTAGTGTCGTTTAAGACGATCAAAATGTATTAACACCCAAGGAGTGTACGATTTTTCCAAGCTCCTGTTTAGAAACTTTTATTTGATCCATTCCGCCATTTTGTACGAAAAAGAGAGACACAGAGAGTGCTTTAAGGTGCGCGTAATTCAAAAATCGAGCAAAAAATTTTATTTGGGGTTAGATGGAATTTGTTAGGCTCTACAAAACCGTATATATGAAAAAAATTTCAAACGCTCTTTTTGTGATAAATATTGAAAA